AAAAAGTTGCAATATATGGGTGAAAAGTATTATCAAGATTCCATTACAGTGACAATGAAAGAGTATGAGTTTGAGCTAGTGAAAATTATCACTGTTTTCACCACCATTGATTTTTTGAATAATAATTTTTATGGAGAAATTCCAGAAGTAATTGGAGAGCTTCATTCACTTCTACACCTCAATCTTTCTTTAAACAAATTAATAGGTTGCATCCCATCATCACTTGGAAAATTGAATGCTCTTGAATCCTTAGATCTTTCTTCAAACAAGCTCGTTGGAAAAATGCCATGGCAATTGAAAAATTTAGATTTTCTTGGAGTGCTAGACTTGTCTCAAAACCAACTCACGGGGCCCATTCCAAGAGCACCCCACTTTGATACCTTTGAAAATACTTCATACGTGGGAAACTCAGGATTCTGTGGATTTCCATTGTCAAAAGAATGCAGAAGTGATGAGACACTACAACCACCTTCAAAATTAGAAGATGATGCAGAGTCTTCTATTGGATTCGGTTGGAAAGTGGTGTTGATGGGCTATGGATGTGGAATGGTTTTTGGATTGATCATGGGATATCTTGTATTTTTAACAGGAAAGCCTCAGTGGCTTGTAAGGATAGTTGAGGGAGAACATCATAGAAAGGGGAGAAGGCCGAGCAAGAAATGTGGGGGAAGAAGAGGTTAATGCTTTCAACTTTGTTAAGAGTGTTGATTATATATAAGTGTTGTATCTTTTTTTTTTTTTTTCCTTTTTCTTTTTATCTTCTATGTTTTCTGTCAGTGTAAGCAATCAAATATAAAAGAGAAAAGCATTAATTTTTTTAAAAGGCCTTGGTGTTTGGTTGCGAGAGAGTTTTTGGCTGTTGAAAGTGCAGTAAACGCAGGGTATGGAGTTATGGACAGAGCATATTGTTAATGAAGAATGCTTGGCCTAAAGTTTCTTAGGTTTTGAGATTGTTTAAAGGGAAAGTTTGGTTTTGGCTGTGCTTTTGGGTTGTCTGCGTTCTTCTCAATTGCTTAGACGGCTATCACCACCCTTTGGCCTTGTAGGGTATAAAATTTCTTGATTTTATAGGGGTTTGATTTGTGTTTGTTTCGTGTTTGTGCAATTGTATTAGCACAATATGCATTTAAATTTTAGTTCATTTCTGTTCATATTTCATGGATTTTGCTTTGAATATATAATGAATATTCAAGAACTTGGAATCATTATTATATTATCTTCATTATCGGGAGTATCATCAAAATATATATGAATGTCACATAAAATTACTTAGAAGACTCTTCTGGGCATGCTGGCCAAAGTGTTCCGGATTACCAACAAAAATATATATATGTATATATTTTACTATTCATCGAGAATCATTATTCGGCTAGTTCACAAAAACAAAAACAGACAAATGAAATTTTGGAGATTTGTAACCTTCTGCGGTATCATGATTAATCCGTTTTCTTCACCAGGAGAAATAAATGTCTTAATATTTGTTAGTTCTGCAGTTTTGTGCTCAGTGCCCCAATGGAAGTTCTGAGTTCTCAAAGTAGTCAACTTTTCCCACAACCACCTTACAGGTTATGTTCCACCACCGTTGGGAAATTTGACAGAACTTGAATCATTGGACCTCTCCTTCAACAAGGCTGGAGGACAAAATCTGGTAGAACTGGTAGCTGAGACATTTCTTTCAGCGTTAAACATTTTGTATACAACCAATTTTTGGGATCTATACTTCAAGGAAATCAATTTAACACATTTCGAAACGATTCTTAGAATTGAATTGAACTTGTTAAGAGAAATGTAATAGAAGATCTATTGTTTATTGCCAAATTATGCTGCATATCTCAAATATGGTCAACATGATGTGTTACATATTCTATAAATCAAACTGTAAAAGTGCTTTCTAACCTGCTTGTTTCACACGGAGCATGAGCCATATCTACTATTTGGATTTTACCATTGATACAGTGAAAAAATAAACCATTATTGAATCATAGCTTAAAGATGTGAATTTTACCACTAAAAGTAAAGAATAGACAAGTTTGAAAGTGCCCTTTATTGACTTAAGGTTATAGATTGGCTTCTAGATCAGAATTTTTTTGTTCATCGTCTGTCACTCACCTGCAATCAACTTTAATCTTTTATCTTATTTCCTTTCGTATTAAACACTACAATGATTACTTGACTGATAAGTTCAATCATCCTTTTCCTGAAAAGATTTTGTATTGAATAATAAGTTTTGATTTTTATTCAGAAATGCAAGAACTTGTTCAGCACACAAATCAAAATGCAGAGTACATTGTGAGATCCAATTCCAGTTTTGAGAAGTAAACTAGAATTTGAAGGCGAAACCTTAATAAAACACAGTTCTGCTGAGTTTCTTGATGATGATGAAAATAGTGTTGTGTTAATTTTGATTATTTTGAACCAACAAAAAGCGTGAGATCTTGAAGATCAGGTTAGAAGTTTTTAATGTAATCTTAGTGATGCTTTATTACAGATTATGTAATAACTTGATATTTTAATCTACTTGAATGCAAATCAGAGTATTTTACATTTCAATTTCTTTTTGTGTGCAGAGTGTTTGATGTTGAAATAACATATATTCTCATTGGATGTATGTTCATGTATCCATTTCCAGAATGTGATATATATTATAGTAAATTTCCTTAGTGTCCCTTCTTTGGAAATTGAAGTATTACATGAAACTATTCAATAAATGTTAAAAAATTGTGAAGTGGTTTGTTAGTCACCATGACAATTTTCCAAAGCTTTTGGCACATTTTTTCAACTAAATATAGAACGTAGCAATATGTTATGCTTGGGCCCAAGAAAAAAATATAAATTACAACTCAAAAGGCAGCTTTGTAATCGGAAATTATTAGCAAAAAAGTTGAAGAAAAAGAAGGTTGAAGTGTAAAGAGGTCGAATATTAGCTAAGATTAAAGTGGATATCTTTAGCTTGTATTAGAATAATAATGTTAGTGGATAGTTGGTAGAGCTTTCATATTACATAATGGCTTGTTTTGGACCATGATGAATCCCAGCTTGACACGAGGGTCAACTTCTTTCTCCCTCCGCTCCACTTACATCGAAAGGCACCAAATTTTGTGACACTTCAGCTGTAGTGCTTAGCTCTATCTCTGTCGACAAGTTAACTCTCTTCCAATATGTCACTCACTCAGTCTCTTATAGGCTGNTTCCAGTTTTGAGAAGTAAACTGAAATTTGAAGGTGAAACCTTAATATAAAACACAGTTCTGCTGAGTTTCTTGATGATGATGAAAATAGTATTGTGTTAATTTTGATTATGTTGTACCAACAAAAAACGTGAGATCTTGAAGATCAGGTTAGAAGTTGTTAAATGTAATCTTAGTGATGCTTCATTACAGATTATGTAATAACTTGATATTTCAATCTATTTGAATACAAATCAGAGTATTTTACATTTCAGTTTCTGTTTGTGTGCAGTGTTTGATGTTGAAATAACATATATTCTCATTGGATGAATGTTCATGTATCCATTTCCAGAATGTGATATTTATTATAGTCAATTTCCTACTGTCCCTTCTCTGGAAATTGAATTATTACATGAAACTATTCAATAAATGTTAAAAAAATGTGAAGTGGTTTGTTAGTCACCATGACAATTTTCCAAAGCTTCAGGCACATTTTTCCAACTAAATATAGAACGTAGCAATATGTTATGCTTGGGCCCAAGAAAAAATTATAAATCACAAATGCTACTGTTCTACCTGTTGAGCACACAACTCAAAAGGCAGCTTTGTAATCGGAAATTATTAGCAAAAAAGTTGAAGAAAAAGAAGGTTAAAGTGTAATGAGGTTGAATATTAGCTAAGATTAAAGTGGATATCTTTAGCTTGTATTAGAATAATAATGTTAGTGGGTAGTTGGTAGAGCTTTCATATTACATAATGGCTTGTTTTGGACCATGATGAATCCCAGTTTGACACGAGGGTCAAATTCTTTCTCCCTCCGCTCCACTTACATGGAAAGGCGCCAAATTTTGTGACACTTCGCTGTAGTGCTTAGCTCTATCTCTGTCAACTGAGTCTTGGTCGACAAGTTAACTCTATTCCAATATGTCATCAGTCTCTTGCAGGCTTCTTCCTTTTTTTTTTTTTTTTTTTTTTTTAAATACATTATGTACAGTATGTATGTATATACCTACAAATTGAAAGAGTCCTCAAACTTGAGAAATGGAGTTTTTTGATTCAACAGAAAGCATGCTTCGTTAACTGTCATATTCAAATATAATGCTTGATTACACTTAGTTCTGTATTCTGTTACCAGTTTTGTTATTCTCGTGGGCTTGGAAGAAATGAGAGAGAGTGTTTGTCATAGTATTGAAGAGTCAAAGGAGAGGTTTAAGAAAACCCGGTTTTTGTGGTATAAGCAGAATTTAGTCTCTTGTTTAGGTGTTTCAATGTGTCTTGTAGCAGAGTACACTGGGACATCAAATTCCATTTTAATATTTATTTTAGTAGTGAGCCCACTCACTCACCATGACAACTCAAAAACTATAAAAAAACTACTCTTCCACGTTTATGCAAAAATATATAAAATAAAGAAAAGAAATATAGAAATAAAGAAAGAAGAAATGCAGATATAATTTTTTAAGGTTTCCTGCATAATGGATGTTTAAATATTAGCTAAAGGTTGAAGTAGTGTTTGTTAGCTTGTACTGGAATAATAATGTTAGTTGGGTTGAGCTTACAAAATGGTCTGTTTTGCACGATGATGAAGCCTATGACGATGTCCAAGAGCCGCCAAACACGTGGGTCAACTTCTCTTTCCCTCTAACCGACTTACTGAAAAGGCCACAAATTTTGCCTCACTTCACCTGTAGTGCTTAAGTCTCTCTCTGTCTCTCAACTGAGTCTTGGTCGACAAGTTAACTCTCTTCCAACAACTAATCTTTTGTCACTCACTTAATACATTATATATTTATATCCATACATAGAAATCAAAGAGTCTTCGAACTTGAGAAATGGAGCTTTTTGATTCAACAGAGCATGTTTCGTTAACTTTCTTTACACACTTATATTCAGTTATGTATTCAGGTACTGAGTTTCTTCTCAAACCCATTTTCTCACGGGGGGTTTCTGCTTCATTACACTTAGTTCTGTTACTAGTTTTGTTATTCTCGTGGGTTTGGAGGAAACTGAGAGAGAGTGTTAGTCATAAAACTGAAGGGTCAAAGGAGAGGTTTAATAGAAGGGGGGTTTTGTGGTATAATAAAACTTTGGTGGGTTGTTTAAGTCTTTCAGTGCTTAATCTTGTATTGTGTTTGTTGAGTTACTTCTATTGGCATAGAAATGGTTGGTCGGATGATAAAGTGGTAACCCTTTTGGATTTAGTGGTGAAAACGCTTAGTTGGGGGGCAATTTGTGTTTATTTGCATACCCAGTTTTTTAATTTAGGTGAAAAAAAATTACCATTTTTATTGAGAGTTTGGTGGGGCTCTTACATGTTAATCTCCTGTTATTGTCTTGTTACAGACACTGTTCTTTACAGAAACTATTTGTTGTTATCAATTCAGTATTTGGTATCTGATGTTGTCTCTGTTATCACTGGGTTGTTTTTCTGTTATGTGGGGTTCTTTAAGAGAAGTGAGGGTGAAAATACCCTCGTTCAAGAACCCCTTTTGAATGGTAATTCAAATGTAAGTGATGATGTAGGGTCAAGAATCAAGTCCAGAGGGGCTGATAATGTGACCCATTATTCAACTGCTGGTCTATTTAGTCTTTTTACATTCTCTTGGATGGGTTCCTTGATTGCTGTCGGCTATAAGAAAACATTAGACCTTGAGGATGTGCCTCAGTTGGATAGGCATGATAGTGTAGTTGAGGCTTTTCCAATTTTTAGAAGTAAGCTTGAAGCAGATGGTGGTGTGGGGAGTGGAGTTACCACACTAAAACTGGTGAAGGCATTGATCTTGTCAACATGGAAGGAAATTCTGTTAACAGGTTTCCTTATCCTTTTACACACCATGGCCACATATGTTGGCCCATATCTCATTGGCACTTTTGTGCAATACCTCACTGGGAGGCGGGAATTTAAAAATGAGGGGTATGTTTTGGTTTCTGCTTTTCTTGTTGCGAAATTTGTGGAGAACTTCTCCGAGATACACTATTTCTTTTGGCTGCAGCAGGTCGGAATTAGGATCCGAGCAGTTCTTGTCGCGATGGTGTACAATAAGGGTTTGATACTTTCTTGTCAGGCGAAGCAGGAGTGCACTAGTGGGGAAATAATAAATTTCATGACAGTCGATGCTGAGAGAGTAGGTGATTTCAGTTGGTCCATGCACGATCCATGGATTGTGCTTCTGCAAGTTTTTTTGACCTTGTTTATATTGTATAGAAATCTTGGGCTTGCATCTATTGCAACTTTTTTGGCAATAATAATTGCTATGGTACCGAATTTTCCTCTGGGGAGATTGCAGAATAGGTTCCAAGTAAAGTTGATGGAATCAAAAGATACGAGGATGAAGGCAACTTCTGAGATTCTAAGGAACATGAGAATTCTTAAACTTCAGGGATGGGAGATGAAGTTTTTGTCTAAGATTGTGGAACTTAGAATGGGTGAAGCTGGATGGTTGAAAAAATATCTTTACACCTCTGCCATGACCAGTTTTGTCTTTTGGGGTGCCCCTACTTTCGTGTCTGTGGCCACATTTGGTGCTTGTATGCTTTTAGGAATCCCGCTTGAGTCGAGCAAGATCTTATCTGCACTTGCAACGTTAAGGATTCTTCAACAGCCTATCCAAAATCTTCCTGACACAATTTCAACCATAATTCAGACTAAAGTTTCACTTGATAGGATTGCATCTTTCCTAAGTCTTGATGACTTGAAGGCTGATGTTATGGAGAAGCAGCCAACTGGTAGTTCTGATAAAGCAATTGACATAGCTGATGCGAACTTCTCCTGGGATGTTTCTTCCCCAAATCAAACGCTAAGAGACATCAACTTGAAAGTTTTCCATGGCATGCGAGTTGCAGTTTGTGGTACTGTTGGCTCGGGTAAATCTAGCTTACTTTCCTGTATCTTGGGAGAAGTACCCAAGATATCTGGTAATCTTAAGCTGTGTGGTACAAAGGCTTATGTTACTAAGTCACAATGGATACAGAGTGGCAAGATTGAAGACAACATCTTGTTTGGTAAGGAGATGGACAGAGAAAGGTATGACAGAGTTCTTGAAGCATGTTGCCTTGAGAAGGATTTAAAAATCCTTCCTTCTGGTGATCAGACAGTTATAGGTGAGAGGGGAATCAATTTGAGTGGAGGACAGAAGCAAAGAATACAGATTGCACGTGCTCTGTACCATGATGCTGATATCTATCTGTTTGATGATCCTTTTAGTGCTTTGGATGCACATACAGGATCCCACCTCTTCAAGGTTAAATCTGTTCCAATCACAAATGCTTTCACTTCTTGTGGAATTTATTTTTTATTCAACAAATTTAAGCATAAATATTTCTCGATTAATGGATTGTGGTATTCTTTCTTGTTTTTTCGGGCTTGTCAAGGGAGGGAGCCCAAGTCTTTTATAACCCACATGCTCCCCCATGTCGCCCTTTCCTAGGTAGCGTTTTCCTAGGTCACCTCTTTCGAAACATTGTTAGCCTACTCTAAACGGTTTCACTCTGGGTGGCCTACTCTCCCATGTCGCCCACCCTACTTCCCTCTCAAGGCTTTGAGACCCAATGTTCACGTTGGCCCACTCTGGACGGCTTCACTCTGGGTGGCCTACTCTCCTAGGTCGCCCCTTCCTATGTAGCCATGCCCCCCCTTTTCCCTTCCAATAAGGTCCACGTTAGCCTACTCTGGATGGCTTCACTTTGGGTGACCTACTCTCCGAAGTCGCCCCTTCCTAGGTAGCCCCTATCGGAACATGGGCTTGGGCAGGGTTTGGCTATGATATCATTTGTTATATACCCATCTAACAACTCAAACAATTGGTTGCATAGTGGGCCTTTTGTGGACTTGGGTAGAATTCTCATTAGAAAACCGGCTTGCCAATGGAGAGTTTCCAAGCCCTTTATAACCAATATGCCCCCTTTTCCCTTCTAATGTGAGATCCTAACAAACTACTACTTATTTTTATGTGGCAGGAAGTTTTGCTGGGTGCTTTGACTTCAAAAACGGTGATTTATGTCACTCATCAAGTGGAGTTCTTACCTGCTGCTGATCTTATCTTGGTGAGCAATGTACATTACTCTTTTTTGTTTTTTGTTGTTTTAATTGGGTGCATTACTTCAAATTCATAACTCATTAACTCTATTCATCCCTTGTTGTGTTAGGTAATGAAAGATGGAAAGATTATACAATCTGGAAAGTACAGTGGAATTCTGAATTCGGGAACGGACTTTATGGAACTTATGGGTGCACATAAGCAAGCTTTGTCAGCTCTGGAGTCCATCGATGGTGCGCCAGTTTCAGAAAATGTAAATACTAGCAAAGAAAATTGTGGCACAAGTAGTAATGGAGGTGTTGTTAATAAAGAAGAACATAAAGATATTCAGAATGATAAAGCAGAGGAAGTAGCAGAGGCGAAAGGGCAGCTTGTGCAAGAAGAAGAGAGAGAGAAAGGTAGAGTTGGGTTCTGGGTGTACTGGAAGTTCATCACTACAGCATATGGAGGAGCCCTTGTACCATTTATATTGTTGGCACAGATTCTCTTTCAGGCTCTTCAAATAGGCAGCAATTATTGGATGGCTTTGGCAACTCCTGTGTCTGAGGATGCAAAACAACCTGTTGGGGGCTTTACACTAATTACTGTTTATGTAGCTCTGGCTATTGGGAGTTCCTTTTGTATACTTTGCAGAGCCACACTTCTTGCAACAGCAGGATACAAAACTGCCAGTGTTCTCTTTAATAAAATGCATCTGTGTATTTTCCGCGCCCCCATGGCCTTCTTTGAGGCGACTCCTAGTGGACGAATACTAAACAGAGTAAGTTGATATATATCTATCTTTGTGTCAGCATGTGATTCAACATGGGAACATTTTCTGTGTTTTCTTACTGAGTTTTGTTAATTCCAATAATATACCAAATATAATTTGTATGCTTTTGCTTGTATAGGCTTCTACCGATCAAAGTGCTGTTGATTTGAACATTCCGTCTCGAGTTGGGTCTCTTGCGTTCTCGATTATCCAGCTTCTAGGAATCATTATTGTGATGTCTCAGGTTGCACGGCAGGTTTTTCTTGTTTTTATCCCTGTGATTGTAAGCAGCATTTGGTATCAGGTAATCCTTGTGTCCACAGCTACTCTTCTAAGCTACACAAAAATATGGCTTCACATCAAATCTCCTATACACTCTTTACTATTACCTCAGGTTTTTTTGTATTATCTTTCGTTTTGTTTTAGTTTTTCCACGAGATTTGCTTGTAAAGTTGACTTTTAAAGTGCTGTATTGCCTTATTTTTTAAGTTACAGAATCTGCAAAGAAGTTCTAGAGAAGAGTTAATATAATGTGATTATGTTAACGCCATTCATTATCATATTGTTTATCCTTTTTTAAAGGGTGATTTCTAACAGTGTTATAATTTTGCAGCAATATTACTTACCCTCAGCACGAGAACTTTCACGGTTAGTAGGAGTATGCAAAGCTCCAGTAATACAGCATTTTGCTGAAACAATTTCAGGGTCAACAACTATTCGGAGCTTTGATCAAGAATCAAGGTTCCGAGACACAAATATGAAACTGATGGATGGATATTCTCGGCCCAATTTCCAGAGTGCTGCTGCTATGCAATGGCTGTGCTTCCGCCTGAATATGTTGTCTTCTATAACGTTTGCGTTTTCTTTGATTTTCCTGATTTCTATTCCAAAGGGTGTTATTGATCCAGGTATTTTATTCACGAATGTTATTGCTATCTTTCTTGGTATCGACATTAATTGTTAAAGGAGCAGTTAACAAACCTCTTTTTTCTTTTCCTTGTTTAAAGCAATTGCGGGCGTGGCTGTGACATATGGACTCAGTCTAAACACGTTACAAATTTATTTCATATACAATCTATGTAATCTGGAGAACAAGATTATTTCAGTCGAGAGGATACTTCAATACACTTGTACTCCTAGTGAGCCACCTCTTGTGATAGAAGAAAGCCGGCCTTACCGGTGTTGGCCATCATATGGAGAAGTTTACATTCGTGATCTACAGGTAACTCTACTGGTTTTATACTTCTCTCTCTCATTCCTTAGAAATATTTTCTTGATGAATTATTATGGTTTGCGTGTAGGTTCGCTATGCTTCGCACTTGCCACTTGTGTTACGAGGTCTGACTTGCAGTTTTCCGGGAGGAATGAAAACTGGCATTGTAGGGAGAACAGGAAGTGGTAAATCGACTCTCATTCAAACACTGTTTCGGATTGTTGAGCCTGCAGCTGGTCAGATTATGATTGATGGAATCAATATCTCATCAATTGGACTGCATGATTTACGGTCAAGACTAAGCATCATTCCTCAAGATCCAACCATGTTTGAAGGAACTGTACGAAGCAACCTGGACCCTCTTGAAGAATACACAGATGAGCAAATATGGGAGGTGGGTTGCTTTTATTTTATTATAGTAGGCAGTGTTTCCGAGTTCCCTTTCCACCTTTGTCCGACATTCGGTGTTTTCAGACTTTGTAATTGTAGATTTGGTTTGGTAAAATTTATATAAATGGTTTTAGGCCTTGGATAAGTGTCAACTTGGAGATGAAGTTAGAAAGAAGGAAGAGAAGCTAGATTCCAAAGGTCTGTCTCCTCTTATTCCTATTGTATGAGTTGAAAATTTCTTGAAACTAATTAAGGCACATAAATTTCATTGTATATGTTAATATGGATTTTGCAGTTACTGAGAATGGAGAGAACTGGAGTATGGGTCAGAGGCAATTGGTCTGTCTTGGACGTGTGCTACTAAAGAAAAGTAAGGTCCTGGTGCTTGATGAAGCTACAGCATCTGTTGACACTGCTACGGATAATCTGATTCAGCAAACTCTACGGCTGCACTTTTCTGATTGCACGGTCATAACAGTTGCACATCGGATAACATCTGTTATTGATAGTAATATGGTTCTGCTTCTTAATCATGGTTAGTTTACTCATTTAACTGAATTGTCCAATAGATTGGATTATATGACATATTATTGATTTTTGTACATCTATATGTAGGGCTTATCGAGGAATATGATTCGCCATCGAAGTTGCTAGGAAACAAGTCTTCGTCTTTTGCTCAGCTTGTTGCAGAGTACACTGTGAGATCGAATTCCAGTTTAGAGAACTAAACTTGAATATGAAGGCCAAACCTTAATAAAATACAGTTCTGCTTACTTTCTTAAATATGAAAAAAATGTATTCTGTTAATTTTTATTATGTATGAAAAAAGAGTGTTGGGAGATTACGGCTGGTTATGTACACTAGTGAATTTCTGATTTTGGTATTATAATCTACCTGAATAAAAAAGAGTATTTTACATTTGAGTTTCTGTTAGTGTGCAGAATGTTTGAATAAAAAACAGTTTATAATTTTGGTTTATGGTAATGCAATATTAGAATTGAACACTTGTGATTCCGAAGTAGAAGAACCTTACTAAGGAATCCAGTTCATAAAAAGTCATCTGTGTTGAAGTAACAGATGATTGTTCCGTTTGTCTACTCTCCTTCCCTGGAAATTGAAGTAGATGAAACAATTCAATGAATGTATTATTTTAAACAATTTTAATGTGGTTTGTGAGTTACCATGCCAATTCACAGAGCTTTAGGCACGTATTTTTAATTTGGCCCCGAAGAAAAGATTACACTAATGCAGACTGATGTTGCAGGGAACTAAGAGAAAGCAGCCCAGAAATTGTTCTAATACAGCAGTTGAGATAGTTGATGGGAACTTCTCCTGGGATATTTCTTCTCTTAATCAAACACTGAGTGATATCAACTTGAGAGTGTTTCATGGCATGACGAAACCGGAATAAACTAAAAGTTGAATAAACTAGGAGTTGAAGGCCGAACCTTAATAAAACACATAGTTCTACAGAGTTTCTTGATTATAACAAAAAAATAAAAAAATATTCGTGTTAAATTTGATTATGCTCTAATAAAGAAGAAAAAAAAAGTGTTGTGAGATCTTGAAGATCAACTTAGAATTTGTTAATGTACTCTGAGGGATGGTTTATTACAGATTTTGATAGTATAAACTACTTAAATATATAGTTGAGTATATTACATTTTAGTTTCTGTTAGTGTGTCAGATTGTATGGTGGTGTTTATAGCTGTAGTTTCTGGTAGATGCAAAAAACTTTTATGCATTCTTGGTCTTGAGCATAATGCTCCTATCAAAACAGCCGGTATTGATTAAGGCACATAAATTTGAATATTATTAGCAAAGAAGTTGAAGAAAAAGAAAGGTGAAGTGTAATGAGGTTTCCTGCATTATAATATGATAATTTAAATATTAGCTAAAGGATAAAGTGGTAATCCTAAGCTTGTAAAATAATAGTTATTGGGTAGTCGGTAGAGCTTACATAATGGTTTGTTTAAGACCATGGTGAAACCATGATGTTGTCCAACAGTTTGACACGTGGGTCAACTTCTCTCTCCCTTCTCCCTCTCGCGACTTACCTGGAAAGGCGCCAAATTTTGTCTCACTTCAGCTTTGGTGCTTAGCTGTCTCTCTCTCTGTGTCAACTTTGTCTTGGTCGACAAGTTAACCCTCTTCCAACAACCCGTCTTTTGTCACTCAATTATATCTATAAATAAAAATCAAAAGAGTCTTCGAGCTTGAGAAATGGAGCTTTTTGATTCAACAGTGCATGTTTCGTTGACTTTCTTTCCACACTTATATTCAATAATGTATTCAGGTACTGAGTTTCATCTCAAACCCATTTTCTCACGGGGGTTTTCTGCTTCATTACTCTCAGTTTTGTTACTAGTTTTGTTATTCTCGTGGGTTTGGAAGAAACTGAGAGAGAGTGTTACTCATAGAACTGAAGAGTCAAAGGAGAGGTTTAAGAAAAGGGGGGTTTTGTGTTATAAGAAAACTTTGGTGAGTTGTTTAAGCGTTTCGGTGCTTAATCTTGTGTTGTGTTTGTTGAGTTACTTCTATTGGCAAAGAAATGGTTGGTCTGATGATAAAGTGATGACCCTTTTGGATTTAGTGGTGAAAGCGCTTGGTTGGGGTGCAATTTGTGTATATTTGCATACCCAGTTTTTTGATTCAGGTGGACAAAAGTTCCCATTTTTATTGAGAGTTTGGTGGGCTTCTTACATGGCAATCTCTTGTTATTGACATTGTTCTTTACAGAAACCATGTGTCTTTACCCATTCAGTACTTAGTATCTTATGTTGTCTCTGTTATGAGTGGGTTGGTTTTCTGTTATGTGGGGTTTTTTAAGAAAAGTGAGGGTGAAGGTACCCTCCTTCAAGAATCTCTTTTAAATGGTAATTCAAATGTAAGTGATGATGCAGGGTCAAGAATCTCTTTTTTTTGTACACTATTTCTTTCGGTTGCGGCTGGTTGGAATTAGGATCCGAGCAGTTCTTGTCGCAATGGTGTACAATAAGGTTTGACACTTTCTCGTCAGGCGAAGCAGGAGCGCACTAGTGGGGAAATAATAAATTTCATGACAGTTGACGCTGAGAGAGTAGGTGATTTCAGTTGGTCCATGCATGATCCATGGCTTGTGCCGGTGTAAGTGGGTTTGGCCTTGTTTATATTGTATAGAAATCTTGGGCTTGCATCGATTGCAGCTTTTTTGGCAATAATAATTGCTATGGTACCGAATTTTCCTTTGGGGAGATTGCAAAACAGGTTCCAAGTAAAGTTGATGGAATCAAAAGATACGAGGATGAAGGCAACTTCTGAGATTCTAAGGAACATGAGAATTCTTAAACTGCAGGGATGGGAGAGGAAGTTTTTGTCGAAAATAGTTGAACTTAGAATGAGTGAGGCTGGATGGTTGAAAAAATATCTTTACACCTCTGCCATGACCAGTTTTGTCTTCTGGGGTGCCCCTACTTTCGTGTTTGTGGCCACATTTGGTTTTTCAACATCTTTGTGTAGGGCTTATCGAGGAATATGATTCTCCATCAAAGTTGCTAGAAAACAAGTCTTCTTCTTTTGTTCAGCTAGCAGTGGAGTCTACTGTGAGATCAAATTCCGGTTTTGAGAAGTAAACTTGAATTTGTAGGCTGAACCTTAATAAAACACAATTCTGCTAGGTTTCTTGATGATGACGAGAACTTAATAGTCTTAATTTTGATTATGTTATCAAAGTACAAATAGATTTTGTACACTAGAAAAGTTCTGATTTTGATATTATTATCTACTTGAGTAAATAGTTTAGTATTTTACTTTCTCTTTCCATTATTTTGTGTGGCAATGTTTGATGTTGTTTGTAATTTTGGTTTATGGTAATGCAATGTTAGAGTTGAACAGTTTGGACTCCAAAGTAGAACGTTACTTGGGAATGAAATTTGAACCTTTGAACATGATGTGAGGAAAAATTTATTCTCTACGTAAAAATTTACAACGTGCGTGTATCTGTCTCAAGATACAATAATGTAGAAGATGAAACAATTCAATAATGTCTTAATATAAATAATTTTAATGTTGTTTTTGATGGATTACGAATGCGGATTGGTAATAGGCTTGTCTATGGAATACATTGTATTCACAACAGAAAACTCCTATAATTTGTAATAATGGTTGAAAGAACTTAATCAGGGCAATCCTAGTAATTTAACAGTCCCACCTGCCATAACACAACACATTAACCCTTGGTCTGCAATACCAATCAAACTACCAAACCAAATATTGAAAATGGAGGAGTCTCCACTTTCACTTCGCTAAATCTTCCATTTCAACTATATCCCAAAGTCCATAAACCCCAAAACCCATAAATTCTTCTTCAATTCTCAAATTTTGACCGAATTTACTACTTTTAAATTCTGGGGGTTTTTTTTTTTTGTTTTTTCTAATTATTTTTGCCGGGATTTATCAAAGTTTCAGTTTTGAATTCATTTTTTTTTTCATATTTCATGGATTTTTCTCTTGAATCTTCCGTTTTCAATCGACCCAAGTTCGTTCCAACAATAAAAAAAACTCGTTTTTCCTCCACCAAAATCGATGTTCTGAAATTCTTGTCAAGATTTCACCCAGAATTCATCACTATTCAAAGTTTCACATTTCTAGGTTGCCGAAAAACAAAATTTTTGACACTAGAACCCACGTGAAACCAATAAACAAAGTCACTGCAGAACTGGGTCGTGAAAAAAGTCACTAAAGATTCTAGTGCTGCTTTATCATATGTAGTTATAAAGGTCCAATTATACTATGTTGGGTATAATATTAGACTGTGTTCCGTTGAGGTGTTGTGAATGCTCTTTCTTTTTTTGGGTTTTAGTTGTTTGAAGTTGAGGGATAGCCGAATGAGAATTCTAAAACATATTACCTGTTTCAGCATAAAAGATGTTAACTGAAACATGATATGGTACTTTTTGGTGCAAGTAGATGATTGCCATCTCTTCAAATAGTTTTATTTGTTCTAATTGGCCAATTGATATTATTCTGATTCAGGTGTGGGAATTGGTAGAAAAAGAGCCTGATAATGGTGTCTTTAAAATGCTTTGCAGTGATGTTACTCGGTTTTTGACGACTATTTTCATTGGCACAACGTTCTACCCTCCCCCTTAATGTAAGCATAACTAATTCTTTTGTTTTCATATTGAATTTGAAAATTATTTCTTTTATAGATTCTAGTTACGTATTCAGTGTGGCAAATATTGGAGCCACTGCGTTAGTCACAGAGGCAGCAACAACTTTATTTGGTGAGGCTGGGGTCCTTGCAGCAACAGGAGTAATGATTGTGAGTCTAACTTTCTCTCTCTTTTAAGGACATGCATATATATTATGAACTCATATTGAAATGACAGGCAGTGCTTATAGTTGACATCTAAGATGTTATGGGTGCACAGGATATACGTTGCCATCAAACTGAGTATTTGTCCTCATTGAAACAAAGTTCATGTTGTCTATGGATTAAAAACTCATGCAGATACACACTAAGATTTTTATACGTTATTTCAATTGCCTTAACCAGTTTTCATTTCCTGAATGATATTAGGTGGCCATATTACTTCTCGCTGAAATTAACCCAAAAAGTATTGCTGTTCGTAGTGCCACAGGGGTTGCTAGGTTTGTGGTAAAGTTTAAAAATTATATATTTCATTTTCTTCAATCTAAATAAGGGCGTCTCTATTAATGCTTAATAGATTTGGCTTCCCCTTTTTTTTCCCCAACCTCATGCTTTATGTAGTTCTGTAGGTTTTCCGTGCTTTGCTGATGTTACTGTCTGGGCACTATTTGACTTTGCAATGTTTCTAGGTCAGACCAGTGGCATGGCTTTCCTTGGTACTTTACCGGGTGGCAAGAGTTGTTACATATCTATCAATGGGAATGCTAAAAGCTCTTGGTTTGAAAGGAAGACGGTATTTTTTATCATGATCTTTTAGTATTTTTTTTTTTTTTTTTGGT